CCACCCCACTCACAGGCCAGCCGGTGCTGCAGCTCGCGAGTGGGCGCCGCGTCCATGGCCGTCTTGGAGTGGCAGTTGAGCAGCGTCGGGTCGGCCCCGTGGCAGAGCAGTAGTGAGCACACCTCCAGGCGCATCTTACTGGCGGCTTCGTGAAGCGGAGTGAACTGCCACAGGTCGGTTGCGTTCACGTGCGCGCCGTGTTTCACCAGTAGTTCGGTCACCTCGTAGTGGCCGTACGAGCAGGCGTTGTGCAGCGGCACCAGGCCACTGTGGGTGCGGAATGGGTGCGATGGTGTCAATCAGCGAACCATGGGAGAATGAGAGTAGACTGTCAACAAGCAGCCAGTGAAGGATCGACAAGATACCAGCCGCAAGATGTCATATGACTGGGAGCAGGACAGCTAAATCTTGCATCTTTCAGTATTACCGCTAAAAACAGGCAGACTTCATTTTTACGATCGAAGACTCTTATAATGTAACGCAACATATTTACGATCGTAGCCCATATTGACTAAAGCAAACTATAAGCCAAAAAAACATCATATCTAGCCCGACCCTCCTCTTGATCAGCTCATCTGAGTCTCCACCGGCCGTCGGCAGCGCACTGACCCCTTGTCCTTGGCGTGCACGTCGGCGCCGTTCTGCAGCAGGATGTTGACGATGCGGGTCCGGTTGTAGCCGGACGCCAGGTGCAGCGGCGTCGACTTCCTGCCGTCCGAGGCGTGGCAGTTGACGTTGAGCGGCGTCAGCAGCGACAGCAGACGCTCCTCGTTACCGGATCGGGCCGCCTCCAGCAGCTCGTCCTTCTTGTACTCACCTGGAGGGTCAACGGGCGGGGATGTGACTCGCATCGTGTGAGAGACGGGCAGCGCCCACTACCGCATGGCACTTTCATGATGTGGTATATCACGGCTATGCGAGCCCGGAGAATTAGAAAATTTTCTGAGTTCGACCATCCAGCTGATTGAACATTACGAGCTCCCATGGATCTGATACACCTGAACTTGAAAAGAAAACATAGTACATTTTAGCCCGCGCACCTTGAACAGCCTGGCATGGTCCATTTACCAATCATGATCAAAGCCATGACGGATGACTCCCTCTTCTCTCCACCCTCTATCCGACGAACATCTGGCTCCCTCCCCTCTCTACCTGGCGGGTGCCCGACTACCCTCCCGACACGTACCGGTCAGCACGGCTCGTGTGGATACGTCAGACAGCTCCAGTGCCGTCTTCCCGTCCGTGTTACGAATGTTGGGATCGGCACCATGCTGCAACAGCACTGGAAAGTGGGAGACCAGTGTCAGTAACGATTTGTGGGATAAGATTAGCGGCTAGCGACGATAAAGCTATGCAGTTGGCTGGTACTACCCCAGCATTGTACTTTGGACGTGGCAACGAAGGGCTCATGCGTGACCCAGAGCTTACAAGACATAAGAAATGAACGATTACATTTCGATCGCAGGTCTAATATGACAACATTATTCAATCGCAAAAAAATGCAAAGGGTGAGACAAGCTAGACCTGTCTAGGAAACCTAGTTGCAACCTGTCTACAGACTGCAGGGAGCAGATCACGATTTGTAACTTTAAATATGCTGACACTAGGTCAAACATTGAGCCCTTCAACAAAAGTCGACCGAACTTCGCCGCCCAATTCACGGGCTCACCATTCCCCATAACTACACTTCATCGTCTCAATCCAGCGCCATTTCCCACCCCACACACCCGAGCAGACAGACGCCTCGGTCTGCCCCTACGCGCCACAGCACCCACCTATGCAGACGTCCGTCTTGCCCTTGATGGCGGCCTCGTGCAGCGGCGTGTAGTTCCAGTTGTCGCGCGCGTTGGGGTCGGCGCCGGCGCGCAGCAGCAGCGCCACCACCTCGGCGTGGCCGAACGAGCCGGCGTTGTGCAGCGGTATCAGTCCGCCGTCGTCGCGCGCGTGCACACTGGCGCCCAGCTGCAGCAGGTGGTCCACCACCTCCCGGCGGCCGTAACCTGGGCAAGAGGGGGGATATATAATACAGGGAGCTGCAACACCTAACGGCCGCCGTAGCCCGAGGGGCGGGGTAAGGTTACACAATACATAACTCTACTGGTACCCAATGACCATTGGCCATAACCTGAGGGTAGGAGTTCATGCACAAAAATATGTATGCCACACCTACTGACAGCCATTCTCCAGTGGGGAGAGATTTAAACTTCAGTCAAACCTCAAATTGTATCTTTATGGAAAGGTCTGTTCAGCATGTCTAACAACATGTCTAAATAATGGCCACTCCTACCTTTTAGCTTTATCCATAAAATTCCCAACCATTTTCTCTCAATAGTGTGTACAACAGACTTCCAACACAACTGAGCTGGGATGATCAGCTATGATGCCCTATTAGCCAACAGTCATATGAGATCAACAGAATTAAATCATATATCAGAACCTATATCAAAGGTTAGTTATCTTGTTTTTTACCTTCATCTAAAAAAGACAAATCAATAGAAACTGGGCCCAGGTCTTTTCGACAAGAAAACATTATATTCATGAAAGTTCAATTAGCTTTAGGTCTCAGAAGACTTATTGTGACATCTTTGATGTCTACAGTCAACAAGAAATGATAGGTGGCCATAAATGTCATCCCAACTTAATTGCATTGCACAAAGTGAGTTTGGTGATCATAAGTCCACATGACTAGAGATTGGTCTCCCAAACAATTTGGTCTTGATGACAACTACACATTAATGTCCAATAAAAAGTGATTGAAGGTAGGTATCTATTATTCAGCAATACATTCAATTTCAACTGGAATGGAATCAATCGAACCACCCTCTACTCTACACATAAACCTGGGTGACATCCATAATCCAAATGGCCTAGAAGTAAGTTAAAAAATATGTTGAGCCTGATCATTATATAATATGGTGCCTTTCTGATTACCTGCAAATGGAAATAAGATAAAGGCAGTTAAAAACTGTGGATGAAAAATATGGGATGCAGCTGCATTAAATATTATGGAAAACAACTCATTCGTTAAGCTTCATTGAACATTCATAGGCATAGTGTAAAAAAATATATGTCAACTTCAGCAGACAAATCAATGCTATAAGTTGAGATTGAAACAACAACAACAACAACAACAACAACAACAACAACAACAACAAACATTTTCAGCATCATCTGTGTCATTTTGTTTAGTACATTTAGATTTAAAAACAGATTATTTTAAAATTTTGGACACAAACTCTTATTAAGGAATGCTAAACATTTGGTCAATAGGGCAGATGCAGCACACAAATACAATTCTAAGATAACAGTACACCAATGACCAAACAAGCAGTTAATGCTATACTGTACCTAAATAACATAAATTCCGATGAAGGCAAAGACACCCTTTTCAGCTTTTTCTGTATTGGTATTTAGAATGCACATTTAAATTTTAAATACATTGATTTTGAACACATATGCATATGTTCAAAGTTTTTCAATCACTCCATGATTCATGTGCATTTGCAACTTTGTTCATTAACAAACCAACATATAACATTTACAATGAGTGCTTTAACAAGTTGTATAAGTGATGTCATAAAATACTGACCAATATCAGCTGAAAAAAATGTTGAGAACATACATACCCGCAGCAATGTGAAGTGGAGATGACTTCCGTCCAGCGCTGTCTCTTGCATTGACAGTTTGATTTGTCACCAGCTTTTTTACCTTTGAGACCTCTCCAACCCGGCATGCCTCAAACATCTCCCTCAAGGGATCATTTGGGCACTGAGAAAAGCTATCTGATGGCAATGATAATGCAGCCCTTCGCGACATATTTGTGGTCTTGTCTGAAGGCTGGGACGACAATGGCCAAATTCACTACGCTGCTTCATGCCCCGAAATAACCCACAACCTCGAAACAAATATGCCAAAACTCATTTTGAATGAATGCCCAGTACACTCTTAATGTAAATGCAGCGATATCAACGGTTTTGCAACCTAATCGAAGCAGTAATCGCTAAATTCCCACACACATCCTACGCAGCAAACTCCATCACACACGAAAGCAAACAAAGCACAAAACTCAATTCGGCGCAGATGATGGGACGTAAAAATACACGACCGCTAAATTAAGTTTACTAAGCATGCACGCAATTTGCTGATTTGCAGAAAACTGATACTTCTGTGTTGTCTGTTGATGGTCGTTTTGTTCTTCATTGTTCAAAAAATTATGCTTAAATTAATGATACTGCATTAATATGATAGAAAAGTATCGGGATAGTACCTAAACACCAAAGGCAGTAGATGATGAAACTGAGTGGGTAACTAGGTAGTCATCGCCCATCGGCAGATTTGGACGCGGATAGTATCAGTATCAATCCCGTTTTCAAGCTGTTTCGCTAACTGTCCAAAAATGTTACGCTCTATCTGAATAAAACAAACACTCATCGATCATGTTTCTCTCACGATCGCCCGTTTCCCGCAGCCAGGCATTTTGCGAATCCGTATTCCGTGTCAGCTTTGTTAAATGTTTATAGACATTCAGTCCGACTGCGCGGCTAAGGTATGTACGGCGGTACGGCGCACCTCGTCACGCTGGGCGATTTATTTATCGCAATCGGTGCCTCTATGTCTTTATGAGGTCTCTATTGAGGAATCAATTACAGATGTAGGCATAAACATAGAGGATGAATGGGGGAGCCAAGAAACCGGGCTTGACCAAGAAATGTGCCTGACCTCACTCCCGCTGCGATGAAGGTACTCGCCGCACATGGCTCAATTAAAAAGCTGATTGTCGAAGCAATGTGATGTTTGCTAGCCTTTTGATAGTGTTTTACCTGGCATTTTCCTCGCAACCGGCATACATGTCTCAAATACCCCCCACATATCGTCATCATGCATCAATCGTACCCAGAGACGGGCAGAGGTGAAATTGCCAACTAACGGATATATTTAAAACGAAGGTGACAATATCCAGTTTCGTTTCGTTTTGGATTTCGACGCAAAAAAAGGTAGCGTTGCATCCTTTGCATCTGTATTGCGCACATCAGGGCAAAGCGTTGCCATGCCGGATACAGTCTAACAAAGCGTGGTGGATAACTGAATTGCAATCCTTACAACTGCATTCCGAAATTATTAGAGTGTAACAAGAGAAACCAGTCGGTTCGCGACAGGTTTCGTTTCGGCCTCTTTCACAACAATTCAATATTGTTCACAAAATAATGAGATATGCGAACAATGAGACGATATACGGCGAAACTCCAGATCCATGCAGTCGCGATAGCATCCGTCCCGACCAATGACAAAAAAGAATTTCATTAGCGTCCTGATTTTCTAACAAATCGGCAAACAGCACATAGCAGTAGCAGCAAGTATTCGTCAAAAGCTGCGAATTGCTAACGATAACCCTGTCGCGAGAGAAGGAGCCACCCAACATTATTTTGAGGCCACCAGCCTTGTCGCGACAGTGGAGGTTTTGCTGTAAATGAATACCCCTTACATCAATAACACGATCCATATCACCGCCATCATTTATCCCACATTACCAGCATAATACAAACCTGATATCGTTAACCACAGGCCGCAGTGGTAATATCCTCCCTTCACCACACACCAACAAATCCACTACACGTCCCTCTCCGCCTCTACCCCTCACTGGTCGGCACCGGCTCTCCGGCCGCCTGTTCCGCGGACCCACTCCGCTGCAGCTCCAACTGCCGCAGCACGTGCTCCACTGCCTCCGGGAAGGCGTCGGCCACGTGCCACGGCGGAGGAGAAATGGTGGCCTCGTCTCCCGGCCGGTACTTCCCGGTGCGGACCAGGAGTCCGGCCAGACCGGCCTCCTGCGCGCCGCCAACGTCCTGCTGCACGTCCTGGCCGACAGACGGGACAACATTGGTCAGGTGTGGGCAAAAAGGAGCCACCGATATGGTGCAGGGGCGTGAAACACTTACCCCATCTGCTATCATTAGCTTAAGCATAACTGGGGACAAACAATAACTTAACAAAAGTGTGGGGATTATGGCTAGTCTGAAAATCGAGTGGAGCAAGTGAAGAAAAACATAGCCTATAATGCGACTGTGTCGCTGACTGACCACCCCATTTTCCCCCGACCGCCTCCCAATTCCTTATATATCCGATCATGACCTGCTCCTCGGGCCGTCAGCCAAACTGACCTCCCTACATCCCCTCCCCACCGTCTAATTCCTCACATCTCCAATCATGACGGCCTCCTCCGGCCGACAGCCGAGCTCGGCCAGCGCCGAGTGGAAGAACTCGCGCTCCGGTTTGCCGACGGCCTCGGCGCGGCGTCCGGTGGCGTACTCCAGGGCGGCCACGAACGGTCCGGGCCCGAGCGCCAGACCGTCCGGGCGGCGGTAGTAGCGGGCCTTGTGGACGGCAATCAGCGCTGCGCCGTCCAGCACCAGTCTGAGGAGACAGGGACCGCGGGTCAGACAGGGCGGACGACGGGTCAGACGGAGGGGCGGCGACGGGACGGGCGGAAGGCGGAGGGGTGTTCACGGGCACCGCAAACTGCTGAGTGCGGTGTGTGCGGTGTGTGCAGCAGGCGGGGGGGGGGGGGGGGGGGGGGGGTAGGGGATGGGTAGGCGGTTCTGACGTCACGGCTGCGTGCGGTGGACGGTCCGCTGTGGCCAGTCCCGACCGGCCACAGCGGTCGCTGTGTGCGGTGACGGAAGGCTGACGTAGGGACGCAGTGGGCGGAGCTTGGAGGCTGTGTACGGTCCGACCGCACACGGGCCCGTGAACAGCCCTCCGGTCAATCGGGGCGGCAGCAGGACGGGTGGACGGCAAACCAACCGTGGGATGGTTGGAAGTATAGTGGGCACGAAGGCTCAGCTGGGTCGGTAAACCACAATACGGCCAGATAGTGAGCCGGACAGGGCCCGGATGGTCTCCGCGGGTCTCGGACCCCCTAACAAACGCAGCATCTCTCTCTCTCTCCCAGTTCCAGCCTCCCATCAGCCTTGCCCAAGCGTCCTCCATCCCACCACTCACCGGAATGCCTCGGTAAGCGTTTCGTAGTTGAATTTATCCGGTGCCAGGCCGACCAGCACCGAGTCCGGCTTCTCCGTGTTCACACCGTCAAAGTCCTCCAGTGCCTCGGGCTGGAGCAGCAGCAGCGGTCGCAGCTGGCGTCGCTCCACCAGCCGGCGGGCGGCCGCCAGCGAGCTGAACACCTCCCGGCGCTCCAGACGGAAGCCGAGCGCCGTTAGCAGACCGTGCAGCACCGACAGCGACTCCTTGGTGGTGTTGGTGACGAACCGCAGCGGCACGCCGCACGTGCGCAGCCTGCCGACCGACAGCGGCGGGGGATCAGTTAGCGAATAGCGGGGGAGGGAGCTCTGTAGTGGTGGAGCAAGACAAGGATTCGCTGAGAGACGATCGGCTAGTACTTTTGCAATTTGAAACTACAAAGTCAATAAAGTCAGCAGTTGGCGATTGACTGCTTACTTACTTTTCGAGAGCCTCGACGGCGCCCGGGATCTTGGTGTTGTCGATATGCAGTGTGCCGCTGAGATCTATCAGCACCGCCTTAATCTGCCTCATCATGGCTGCGGGCACAGAACACCAGTGCGAGATGGTCTTCATCAGTACGGCAGCACAGAAACCACTGGACACCGCCAGCGATTAGCTGGAGTCAACTAATTAGTTCACTCATTAGTTCACCACAGTTCTGTGATGTGTGCGCCCTTGTGAAATAATCGAAAACAGCGAAATATCCCGTCTAGGTTATTTCGCTGTTGAGGACCACTTGGCAGAATATTATCTAATCAACTTTTCGTAAGTGCCTGACCAGTGACCACAGCAACATCCGACAACACCTCCGATCCTGAAGCGCCTCAGATGAACCAGTTCGACAGAGCGCGGGCTAGACGTTTTACCGACCTTCAAAAATGACAATAAAGGCGATTAGGAACAAAGATGACAATCATTTCTGTTCTATCGTAATCCCTGCAGGACCATCACAATCCCCGATCTGCTACGTGAGTCTGTATTTCACAACTGCTTGCCAACCTGGCGCGGCGCATTCTGCACAAGCATGTCTGCGTACTAAAACACTGCCTTTGCGAGCACGCTAAAACACTGCAAGGGTAAACACTGCAAGGGTAAACACTGCAAGTCACTACATGACACTCCCCCCTCTTTACAGGTGCATCGCGCGTATCGTGTCACTCGGCGTAACGTTTCGGGGGTATTATACTGCGTTTCCCCCGTCTGAGTGCCACTGGTCTATCGCGCGCATAGGCCGAGGGTTCGTGACCGGGCGTCGGTGATCGCCCACGCTCCTGTGTCGGCGGCTGCTCGCGCTCCTGTGTCGGCGGCTGCTCGCACTCGCGCGCCGACGGCTGTCCGGGCTCGGGCGTCGATGGCTGCTCGCACGACGACTTCTCGCGCGATGGCTGCTCGCGCTCGGGCGTCGACGCGGGAGCCCCTCGTGCAGGCATCATTGGTTGTTGGCTGGTCTCGGTTGCTTTTCTCTCCGCTGGCCACAGTTGGTCGGCATGGCGTGACCATGTTACGCCGTCTCCCATATCAACCTCGAACGACCTTGGTCCAGTTGCGGCATTAATTTTTCCCAGTCTCCACTTGTCTCGTCCCGTGTAGCTTCTTGCCCACACTCCGTCTCCCACCTGAAGAGTGCGATGTACTCCTGGTCTCCGGTTTACGTCGTTCTGTTGCGCGTCTTTCACTCTTCGCAGGAGGTCTGGTTGCAGATGGTCCAGTCTTGTCTTTGGCTGCCACCCCAGCATCAATTCTGCAGGAGATCTTCCCGTCGCAGAATGAGGAGCAACCCTGTACGCTAGAAGAAACCGCTGCAATCTGCTGTCCAGCGTTCCTCCGTCGCGTCCCGATGCTCTCAGAGCGTTCTTCGCCGTCTGTACCGCTCTTTCTGCAGCACCGTTACTGCTCTGGTGGTAAGGAGCGGTTCTGAGGTGTTTGATCCCGTTCTTCTCTACAAAGTCCGCAAACTCTTTGGCAACGAACTGCGGTCCGTTATCGCTTACGATCTGCGCGGGTACTCCAAAACGTGCGCACATGTCCCTCAGCTCGTGCACCGTTCTTGACGCTGTAGTTTCCTTGACTGGTACCACCTCGATCCATCTTGAATAACTATCGTAGACCACTAGAAGGTAGGTTCCCTGGATTGGTCCGGCGTAGTCCACATGTATTCTTTCCCATGCCTTAGTCGCTGGTTCCCACGGGTGGAGCGCTGTCCGTGGTGGTGATGTTTTCTTCTCTGCACATGCTATGCAGTCACGCGCTGTTCCTTCGAGTTCCGAATCCAGTCCGGGCCACCATACGTATCTTCTTGCGAGACTCTTCATCTTCGCTGCTCCGAGATGACTCTGATGGAGTTCTTGCAGTACTGCTGCTCTCAGCTTCGTCGGTATCACCGTCCTTCCTCCCCACAGAACGCAGTCGAAGTCGGTTGACAACTCGTTCTGCCGCTGTTTGTAAGCTCGCAGCTCGTCTTCGGTTTCTTCTGGCCAGCCATGTCTCACGAAGTTCAGGACTCTGCCCAACACTGGATCTCGTTTCGTTTCTCTCGCTATCTTCTCCACTGATATCAGCTGCGATGTGCCGTCCATGAACATGATGTAGCATCCGACGACACCATCTTCGTTGATCTCCTTCATCTCCTCGGCGGAGCACGGTAAAGCCAGCCTGGACAAGCAGTCCGCAATATGCATGTCTTCTGACTTCCGTAGTTCCACGCTGTATGAGTAGGTTGCTAGCTGTAATGCGTAGCGTTGCAATCTAGCCGCAGCAAGACTTGGCAGTCCCTTCGTAGGTCCTAGAATCCTCGAGAGAGCTCTGTTATCCGTCACTAGAGTGAACCTTTTTCCATACAGAAAATGGTGAAATCTACTCACACCATATGATACAGCAGCTGCCTCCTTTTCTACTTGAGCATATTTTCGCTCAGTCACGGTAAGTGATCTCGACGCGTATCCTATGGGCCTCTCTGTTCCGTCTGGTAGAACGTGGAGTAGCGCCGCACCGACTCCTACGCTACTGGCATCCGTTATCAACTTGACTGGTAGGTCCGGATCGTACGTCATTAGCACTCGGGGTCCTGACAGCATCTTCTTCACAGTGTTGACCGCTTCACGGCACTCCTTCGTCCATCTCCATGTCGCGCCCTTCTTCGTCAGTGCATACAATGGTTCCAGTACGGTTGAGAGGTCTGGAAGCAGTTTTGCGAAGTAGTTGATTGATCCCAACAGTGATCTCAGTTGACTGACATCTCGCGGCTCTGGCGCTTCCACTATTGCTTCCACTCCCTTGTCTCTTGGACTAATACCTCGTCCGCTGATCCTCCATCCCAAATACATCACTTCCTTCTTCAGGAACTGGCACTTTTCTTTTGAGAGTCGTAGTCCATTTTCCTTCAGCTTCTTGAGCACATCATCCAGTCTTTGAAGCAGTTCTTGTTCATCCTTTCCATACACCAGAACGTCATCGAGGTACACTTTGCATCCCTCTACATCACCAAGGATCCTTTCCATCGCATCTTGGAAGAGTGCGCCACAGCTGGCGATACCGAATGGCAATCTCAGCATCCGGTATAGTCCTCGATGAGTACTGACTGTCGTCATGTCCTGGGACTCTTTGTCCAGTTTCATCTGCTGGTACGCGTTTTTCAGATCTAGTTTGCAAAAGAACTGTCCGTTGACGCCTGCAAACACGTCTTCAGCTCTTGGCAGAGGATGTTGTTTCACGACTAACTGGGGATTTACGGTGATGTCGTAGCTAGCACATAGCCTCACTTCTCCGGACGGTTTCGGCACCGGTACGAGCGGTGTTCCCCACCCTGATGTTTTGTCCGACGGCTCTACCTTCTCGGCGATCCCTTCGCTTACCCATCGGTCCAATTCACCATTCACCTTTGGTAGCAGCGCGTACGGAATCGGTCTTGCTGGAACGCTCTTTGGTACTGCGTTCGGCTGCAGAGTGAGGTGGGCCTCGACTGTCATCTGGCCCAGTCCGGCATCAAACACTTCCTTGTTGTCAGTCAGGACTTCCTGCAACGTTCGCTTCTTCACCTGTCTTTGGACCATCCACACTTCCTTCCAATTCAGCTTTATCACCCTCAGCCACTCTCGCCCCAATAGCGGCATCCGTCCTGGCTGATCGCACACTATGATCCTCGCCTCCTTCTCCTGTCCGTCATATCTCACGGTCACAGTTGCTTCTCCGCATACCTTGAGTTCCTGACCTGTGAAGGATCTCAGTTTAAGATCCGTCTTCTGAACCTTCAGTCCTGGTACTTTCTCGGCTTCACGGCTGTCGATGATTGACACCGGCGACCCCGTGTCAATGAGCAGCTCTATTTGACGTCCATTCACTCCCATCTTCACCGTCGGGGGTTTGTCCTTCAACTTCTCTTGTACCGCGAACACTTCCTCTTGTCTTCTTTTGCCACTTTCCTTGTCTTCGTTTTCCGTGACTTCTTCACTTTCCGTGACTTCTTTACTTTCCGTAACTTCTTCACTTTCCGTGACTTCTTCACTTATCTTCTCGTCAGTGTCTCTATCTTCTTGCTTCGTTCGTGTGCTCCAGCCACATTCTCATTCTCCGTCTTCCCACTTCACAACATCGGCTTCCCATCCGTCTTCATTTGCAGCTTCACATCCGTTTTCTTCATCGTTCATGACATCATCAGTTGTCCCGTCTCTACCCAGATCTTCCTGCTGGCTTTCATCTGTCACTTCTGTCTCTTCTTCTGTATCTTCTGCCTCATGCAGCGCCATCAACACTTCTTTCTCTTCTTCTGCATCTTCTGCCTCCTCCAGCGCCATCAACACTTCTGGGATCACTTGTCCTGCAGTTCTCCTGGGACACCATCGCTGCAAGTGTCCTTTCGCTCCGCACGCATGACATGTTCTTGTGTCCTCCGTCTGTCTGCTACCACGACCTGGAGCTGACCTGCAAAATCTCTCAATATGTCCATATCCTCCACAGTTGAAGCATTTCCTTACGTCATTTCTGTAACCTTCCGGTCTCCCATACCTTCTGGCACCTTCACTCCTTTCTGTCTTTCCCTGGTCTCTACACCACTTCTGTAGGTGTCCTTCCTTTCCACATTTAAAACATCTCTTTTCTGATTTTCCAGCACACATGGCTCCTCTTTCATCACCCATATTCCCTCTTCCTTCTCCCATGGTTCCTCTTCCTTCATTCATCATTCCTCTTCTTTCTTTCTTGTACTGAATGACATCCACCTCTTCCTGGTGCCTTTTCTCATCCACCACTTCCTCCTTCCTCTTCTTTTCCTCACCTGAAAACTGCAATCCTAGATCACGCACTGCTTTGTGGACCTTTGCCATGTTTCTCACATCTTCCAGTGTCAAAGCATCTCCCTTTTCTGCTGCCTTCTGGAGGAACTTATGTTGCAGGTCTCTTGTCGCGCCTGCCACACATCTGTCACGCAGCTCCCTGTCTTCCTCATGTGCTGCATACCCACATTTCCTCATTTGCTTTTTTAGCCTGGTCAGGTAAGCCTCAAATTCTTCTCCCTCATCCATGGTAATTTTCTGAAAAGCCATCCTCTCGGCAATGACATTCCGAGTTGGTGAAAGATAGCTGGACAGTTTAGCCTTACATTTCATGAATTCATCTCCACCTTCCATATCTGGCAGTGTTTCGTATGTGTCTGCTATATCTTCTCCTACTAGATGCAAAAGCAAAGCACATTTTCTTTCTGTAGACTTGATATTCATTGCCAGCATGTATCTTTCCACAGACTTTACCCACCTGTCAAAATCATCTCCTTGCTGGTACTGCCTCACACCTGGTACAGATAGGCCTTCCATGTTCCTTTTTCAATTGAAAGTGATACGAAAATCTTCAAATATGTTCTTGTTTTTCAGTAACAAAGAAAATATAACTGGTTGCTCAATTCAAAATGCGCCACATTCGCCTCAAAATATCCAAATCACCTGCAGCACCTCTCCTTGGCTATCCATATATCTGTCGCCATTCGCACATCCTTTCCTTCATGTCTCCCTCTATATTCCTGTAACCAATTTCATTTTCATCCTTGTCGCCATGTTCTATCGTAATCCCTGCAGGACCATCACAATCCCCGATCTGCTACGTGAGTCTGTATTTCACAACTGCTTGCCAACCTGGCGCGGCGCATTCTGCACAAGCATGTCTGCGTACTAAAACACTGCCTTTGCGAGCACGCTAAAACACTGCAAGGGTAAACACTGCAAGGGTAAACACTGCAAGTCACTACATGACAATTTCCATCATCAGACTCTCCTCTCCATAAAACACTTTACATCCGCAACCGCAGTAGAGATTAAGCCAACAGCCTACGCTCACCTCGATCGAGGGCGAAAAGGCGCTCCGGTATACGACTTCCCACGGTGACTGGTGAGATGCAGGCTCAGTAGGTTCCTGAAACAGGCAGTAAACCACACGACAGAACTACAAGTGCAATGTGCGTGCCTAGGACCAGGCTCAGCAAGTCAATTTTTGAAGTGATCCAGGTTGTACCTAATGATAAGGCATGAGTAGAGTGTCTTCGAGTAAAACGTGTTTTTTAGAGGACCATCGTGAAATGTTGACACTGTGTGGCGTGTGCCTGAACGAACTGTGCGCATGATGGCCCATCTATTAACCCCAAGTGCCTCAACTGCCATAAGGAGGGACCCGGTTTGCTTATCAGTGCAACACACACATTATCTGAAGCAGCTCGAACTGACCGACGAAATCAGCAGTGAGGAAAGACTACGAGGTCCTCCAACTCTCAGACACCTGTCTACGACCCAGCACGCCAAATAGCCTGGTCATGCTACTCGGGATACTCGCCCAGCCGTGTAGTGGCTACGCTCCGCTCCCGTCGGCAGTGGCTACGGCCACGGGTAACAACGGGGGAGTCGCCGTCGCCACCAAAAACTATCACTTCAGCAGAGCCATGTAGCGCTAATACTAGCTGTTTCACCGTGCCCTGAGACTCAGCTGGGTGTGGGGGTTTGCACCTCTATCTCGCCGACCAATCAGCGAGCGTGACCTTCGGGCAACCTCGCAGTACCCCGGCCCCGGCTGGCCCTCGGCGACCGGCTAGTCTCGCGCTGACCGCGCTTACGAGAGGTGTGCTCTGTGTACCGTGTGCGTGTGTTAATACAAGACGGACACCGAGATCGCCTCTACTGCGGAGCCGGGACTCGAACATGGCGCAGCCGACAGGATTATCAGCGGATGAGATAGCGGCTCTGGCGGAAGAGAACATCTCACTTCGAGAGCAGCTGGAGCACATACAGCAGCAGACCGCAACCGCTGCCGCAGCCGCCGCCCCGCCCCCCCCCCCCCGGCCCGGCCGCGCTGCCACCGCCGCGGCTCGCTCCGCCGCGGGCCGGGTGCGCTGACCGCCCCTCGCCTCCGGGTAGGCTGGAGGTCGGCGTGGACCGCGGGGTTGATGCATGGCTGGCGTGGAAGCAGCGATGGGACGATTTCGTCATGCTGACGGGCCTCGATACTGCTCCCGAGGCTTTCCAGATGGCGAGGCTGCGGTCCTGTCTCGGTGACGATACGCTTCGTATCGTGCGAAACCTCGACCTACCAGAGCACGAACGGACGGCCCAAACAGTGTTGAATACTTCGTGTGTTCTTTCTGGGACAGGTCAATGAGGTGGTCGAAAGGCGGAACTTTAACCTGCGGTGTCAGCTGGAAGGCGAAAGCTTCGAGGGCTTTTTCGTGGCTTTACGCGAGCTGTCGGCTACGTGCAACTTTTGCGCTCAGTGCCGGGATAGCCTCACCCGCGACCGCATCGTGGTTGGCCTCCGCGACCCAGGTGTCATGAAAAAACTGTGCGCCACCCCCAATCTGACCCTCGCCTCGGCCGTCAACGTCTGCCGTGCTGAGGAAGCCGCCCAGCGTGACGTCATCGCCATCGTCGGCGAGGGCGTCGGTGCCTGTCGGGTGGCTGCGGGCCGCCGGCGCCGGCCGCCGCCGGACAATGGTGCAACCCGAGATCGCCTCTGCTGCGGAGCCGGGACTTGAACACTGGGGTCCCAGTGGAACCAGTGGCCAATACTAAACTCGAGAAGAACCTCCAACTGATTGTCGCCTCACTCTACCGACTGCCCGTAACCATGGGACACATCCTTGCGCGCGGAGAATAACTCGAGACCCAGCCGGAACGGGTCTCCGGTCGCGTGCATCCAAGAACCCAAACTCAGACCATAGTCCAGACTAACTATCAAAGGGTATTCAGTTTTTTTTTCTCGCAAGGACCAAGCCGTTGACACTATCGCGTGCGGTGGTGTTATGGTCCTCAGCTGCAACGGATCTCCCTTCTCCATATCCACCATATCTGGCAATCAAAAACGCACAAGAATAATGCAGATTCGGTTGGAAAAGGCAAGTGCAAATGACAGCCGTTGGTATCGGAAGTGCAAATGATAAAAAGCGGCATGAGAAACACAACCAGGTCGGCTGGAAAACGATGATGCTGTTCAATTTGTGCAATGCAAGCCGTTGCACTCATTGAGCCTTCGTCACAGAAAAGTGAAAACGACAGAGAACGTCTGAGAAACTGGTGAACGCATACATTTAATGATTCGATGTTCGATCCAATGTTCGATTCGATGTTCGATCCAAAACGATAGCAATAAGAGCAAACGTCCACTAACAAAGGCCAATACATTCATAGGTAAATGCAGTTCACCAGCCAATTTAAAAAAAAGCAGTTCACCAGCCAATTCAAAAGAAAAATGACACAAAAGTGCATAATAACGTGAAAAACGTCACAGAAAACGGGTGCCCACTGCAATATCGGCAAGAAACCAAAACGGCAATCCAGGAAAATGATAAGAAATGGCATCGAAACAAACCAGTCAGGATTCACACCTTTGTACTGGATTGTGGTGTATTGCTCTGCCTCGCTGAGGTCACCGCTTGCCCGTGACGTCAGCGCTTATGTGAACGTACTGCCGCCGCGTCTGCCCTGGGGCACTGTAAGGCCGGCCGCGGGCCGGTCTGGGCCGGGGGCCGGCAGTGTGCTTGGAGATCCAGTACAGACCAGTTCGTTACATGGATGGTGATAATATACCGCTGAGTCAGCTGACAAAGAGCAACATCTGTGAGCAAAGAGCAAGCATGTGGGCCTAGTAGGTTCTCCAGAAAAGAATGTCACCATACCAACTTGATATGCACTTCAGAAGGGATTAGTCACCGGGAGGGTGAGATGTGAACAACAATTGCAAACAATACACGGTAGCTTCGAAACGCTGTGAAAATACCAATCATATCCTCGTTTCATATCATATCAACCATATCTCCTTATCCGGACACACAGACGAATGCATTGCCAAGGGCGATAGCTCTCTGTTCGGTGCTGTTCGCTGCCCGGCGGCACACAGCATACCTTTCTGGCGCGCTGCTCACGCAGTGCCGCGGGGCAGGCCGGGTCGCCTGCCGCGCGGGGTCCAGGGACAAACGGACGGGGAACCGCCGGGGATACCCATATCTGGATCCAGCAAAATGCTGCTGATTATAGGAGACAGCTTCGCGTATCACCTGGCCGCCCATCTCAACCCAAACTGGAACGTATCATGGCACCATAATCTACAATCACGTGTGTGGTTTTTCGGCAAAAGAGCCAGCCCGGGTGGCAAAAGTAGGTAGGTACTGAGTTCGCTGAAGTGAAGCTCAAAGTGAGGGGAGCCGTGTGTTTGTGCCATGGCATTGAAGAAAGTCTTATGACGCTTCATGTGTCCATGCCTGATGGTGCAAAGAGCTTGAAAACTAAAATTGAATGACACTTGTATTTTGTGTTACCCGAATCCACTTTGAAACGCGATATTGCTGTCAAGACTCCAGAATATGATATCAAGACACCATAATTAAGGGCTATTTTACCCCCCCCCATGGTAACTTTTTGCCGTGTCCTAAGAAACAAAAAAGGTGTCATATTCTTTTCTGTGCATGGGTCGAAAACCCGGCTTTCGGACGACTTATGATACCGTAGCTGGGCTATCGCCACGGCCATCAATACCCGTCCAACGCGCGTCTTGCTGATCGTTGGCGGCTACGATGTTGCACATCCCACGTTTCAGTAACGTTCATTAGCTGTTCAACTCTAAGAGCTGTCTTTGGGCTTGCTGGCAGCGAGGGGGGGGGGGCGGACAGCGTCCACATATTGGCTATACCTACCCCGCGAACGCCACATATCAGGAAGTGTCATCCATGTTTACACGATGCGACTGAGCTGCAAAATGCTCCGAAAACAGCACTAATGAAAATTCAGGAGAAGGCCACACGAGTCGGCAACGGAGACTCGAATGGCACCGACCCCAGTGCGCACAGACGTCCTGGAAGACGTGTGTGGGAATCAACACGGAAAGAACAACGCCGGTGCTGCAGTTTAGGGAAGGGGCGTATCTCGGGTTCGGTGACGGGGTGGGGACGGGGTCCTCGAAAAATAACCAATTAGCGACGCGTCATCCGAGGGAGGTGTCAGTCGCTTTGGGGGACGAGGTGGCGGCAGGAGCAACAAATGGCCCGTTCCCGACATACCGCTGCAGGCTAAGGTGATCGTTGGGGCTCGTTACTGCGGCTGGCATTTCACGGGTTTGTTTGAGCTCTTCCTTCGCGCACATCAACTCATCTTATCCCAGCTTTCCCAACTATCCCACTCCTTGACCCCTCACTGCCCACCCCCATCCCACGCTTGCCCCATAGCCACCCTTTTGTGGAATGTCTGCTGACGTAAATACAAATACAAATACTTCGCTGCTACAAGTGAGAGCGTTCCCAGGGTTTTGGGAACGGTTTGTTTGTTGGGAGTTAGGGGCGCGCCGACTGCGAGGTCATTTTGCGCCCATAGGGGAACGGTAGTAGCAGTCACTTTTTCAGTTGACGTTCTTTGGTGCGGTTATGGGCAGTGGATGGATATGATATGTATGTTACAACTGCATGATTGCATCTTATATTCCAAATCACTCACGGTGGCTTCTGGCAAGAGGGCTCTGAATGGTCGGTAATGGAGACCACAGAGATCGCCAACGCCCACCTCAGTAGAACAGGCAACACCACAAAGCACATGTCGAGGGCTCACAGGGTCGATAAACTGACCGACCAGATCCTCTTCTGGAATGAACGGAGGCGAGGGCGACTTTCGCGGGAGCTCCCCGAGCGACTCAGGCGAATGGAGAAGCAGGCGAGGGATTTCGAAGAAGAGCTGGAGGGTGCCCTAGCCCGATTCACGATCGACCGCGAGTCTCTTAGCCGATACGTTGGGGAGCTTTAAACTCTAGCAAGGTCTCTCGAGAGCAGTACGAGGTCCTCCGACGTCAACGTCCAACAGCTTCGTGATTCGATAGAGCTGCTCTGCGCCAGCATCAACGCGAATACCAAAAAATCAGCCGCAGCGCCGACACATCGAAAGCCCGCGCTCGCCTTCGACGTCTAAGACATGATGAAAGCAGCAGGCTGTCGAGGCTTCTCATCAGATATGAGGAGCTCACCGGCACATCGGTATCGCTAGAGGATTTTGTGACCGGGCAGATCACAAGGGGAGCAGCAATCGGGGAGAAGCCAGATCTCCGGAAAAAAAAAACGCTTGGTGCATGATCTGTCCATGCATATACCTACCGCACACAAAAGATAAGATCGACACCTTGAAGGGTAAAGGTCACAGGGTGGAAGCCCGCCGGAGTGATCTTTGCCTGAACGTGAACGAACGGGTCAGCCACATAGACGATCTCTTGGCTTCACCCGTCACGGGGCGCTGTTAGGAACCCTAAGCGCACGGTACGAATTGGTACACCCTCCCGATGGTGTTCTTTCCGGCTTGTGGGCGTTCTTTTCAGAATCGAGTAGGGGAAGGAGGGTGAATTGCGCCACCCTAAGGAAAAACGCTAATTGTAAGAAAACCGCTGGAGATATAAGCATGCATTGGTGACCATTTCAAAGAGGAACTCATTGGCTACGATTTAAGAGCCTCCCGATCAATTAATAATGTTTCGTTTGCTTCTGACAGCTGTTTTTTCAGAAACATGTAAAAGGGCGCATTTGCCAATAACTGCTGTAAATTGCGCCAGGGGGATGGCGCAATTAGAACCCAATTGCGCCCTATACTTTAACATGGCTAAGCGAATGAGACGGAATGCATACACCCCGGCGGTCTAATGTCATTGCGGCTTACTTTAACATTCATAATGTTATTCACGCTGGTTAAATAATAAATGTAGGTGTAAATCGCGATGTTTTTTGCCCAGGTAGATAACTTTACATGTGTTCGTACGCTTGTAAAAGTGCAACGAAAGCGTTTACTGTAACCGACTAGATATATGTGAAC